AGAGTGCTGTGGCATCACAGCTCACAGCAACCTCCAACTCCTGGGCTCAAGTGATTCTCCTGCCTCTGCCTCCCAAGTAGCTGGGACTACAGGTGCCTGCTACAATGCCTGGCTGTTTTTTGGTTGCAGCCATCATTGTTGTTTGGCGGGTCCAGCTGGATTCAAACCCACCAGCTCAAGTGTATGTGGCAGGCGCCTTAGCTGCTTGAGCTACACGTGCCGAGCTGGCAGCCCAACTTTAAATCTGCCACATAAATTGCTACAAATTTGGATCCTTCAATATTTTACAGTGTGGAACAATGCTACATCTACACTTGGGTTGGCTTAATCAACCTCTTTAATGGTGGGACCAGAGGAAGCACCACCAGAAGGAGGAGCGCCACCACCAGGGAAGCCCCCAGGCATTGCTCCTGGCATGCCCCCTGGTATCCCTCCTGTACTCTGGTACAACTTGGTAATGGTGGGGTTGTAGACTTTCTCCACCTCCTTCTGCTGATGTTCATATTCTTCCTCCTTTGCAGTCTGGTTCCAGCCAGTCGATCATTTTCATTACACTTGTCAAGAATTTTCTGTTTGTTCTCATTGTTGATCTTGCCTTGGAGTTTCTCATCTTCAAGTTGCTTTCATGCTGAATGCATAGGACTCAAGTGAGTTCTTTGATGAAACCTCGTCCCTCTGCTTCTCACCTTCAGCCTTGTACTTCTTAGCTTTCTTGACCATACGTTCAATGTCTTCCTTGCTCAAATGTCCCTTGTCGTTAGTGATGGTAATCTTATTTTCTTTTCCTGTACTCTTATCCACAGCAGAGACATTGGGGATGCCATTGGCATCAATATCAAAAGTGACTTCAATCTGAGGAACACCATGGGGAGCAGGAGGTATGCCTGTAAGTTCAAACTTGCCAAGCAAGTTGTTATCCTTGGTCATGGCACGCTCACCTTCATAAACCTGGATGAGCACACCTGGCTGGTTGTCAGAGTAGGTAGTGAAGGTCTGTATCTGCTTGGTAGGGATACTAATATTGCGCTTAATGAGCACAGTCATCACTCCACCAGCAGTCTCAATACCCAGAGAAAGAGAGTGACATCCAATAGCAAATCTTGAACCAGATAAGATGGCCGCCTGGACAGCTGCACCGTAAGTAACAGCCTCATCGGGGTTGATGCTCTTATTCAGTTCTTTTCAATTGAAGAAGTCTTGGAAAAGCTTTTGAATCTTGGGGATACGGGTAGAACCACCAACCAGGACAATGTCATGAATCTGTGACTTGTCTAGTTTGGCATCTCGAAGGGCTTTCTCTGCAGGGTCCAGGGTGCCACGGATTAGATCAGCGTTCAATTCTTCAAATCAGGCACCTTCATAAAGGGAATGAATCTCAATACCGGCCTGGGTGCTGGAAGATAGAGTACGCTTAGTATGTTTTCAAGCAGTAAGGGGGCAGCGGACAGCTCTCTTATTCTCACTGATGTCTTTCTTATGTTTGCCCTTAAACTCAGCAATAAAATGGTTGACCATTTGGTTGTCAAAGTCTTCGCCACCCAAGTGAGTGTCTCCAGCTGTAGATTTGACCTCAAAGATTCCATCCTCAATAGTGAGGACTGACACATCAACGTGCCACCTCCAAGGTCAAACATTGGCATATTTCTTTCAGCTCCAACCTTTTTGTCTAAGCCATAAGCAATAGCAGCAGCAGTTGGCTCGTCTATAATCCTAAGAACATTGAGACCTGCAGTAGTTCCAGCATCTTTGGTAGCCTGACGCTGAGAATCATTGAAGTAAGCTGGTACTGTGACCACAGCTTTGGTAACAGTCTTTCCAAGATAGGCTTCTGCAATTTCCTTCATCTTTCCTTCAGAACCCTGGATGACACCTCCTCTGGATAGAAACTTTTTGTCTCTCTTTTGTATTCTACTTGGACCTTGGGCCTCCCTGTATCATTCACCACCATGAAAGGCCAATGTTTCATATCAGACTGGACAACAGCATCATCAAAACTATGTCCAGGCTCGGCGCCTATAGCTCACCCGGCTAAGGCGCCAGCCACATACACCTAAGGTGGCGGGTTCGAATCCCCAGCCCGGACCCGCCAAACAACAATGACGGCTGCAACCAAAAAAAAAATAGCCGGGCGTTGTGGCGGGCGCCTGTGGTCCCAGCTACTTGGGAGGCGGAGGCAGGAGACTCGCTTGAGCCCAGGAGTTGGAGGTTGCTGTGAGCTGTAATGCCACGGCACTCTACCCAGGGGGACAGCTTGAGGCTCTGTCTCAAAAAAAAAAAAAAAAAAAAAAAAAAACTATGTCCAATCAGATGCTTGGCATCAAAAGCTGTGTCCGTGGGGTTCATTGAAATTTGATTTTTCGCAGCATCACAAATCAATCCTTCGGTGTCAGTAAAGGCAACATAACTTGGAGTGGTTCAGTTTCCCTGATCATTAGCAATTATCTCTACTTTTCCATGCTGGAAGACACTCACACAAGAGTAGGTGGTGCCAAGATCAATACCAACTGCAGGTCCCTTAGACATGGTTGCTTACTCGTAGAGCTGGCACGGATTACGTAGGACACACAGAAGACCCAGGAGCTGCCACCACATTCAATCCTGGCTTTTTTTTCTTTTTTCTTTATTTATTATAAATACTATTACTATTTGCAGTTTTTTGGCCAGGGCTGAGTTTGAACCTGTCACCTCCAGCATATGGGGCTGGCGCCCCACCCCTTTGAAAAGCCACAGGCACTGCCCAGTCCTGGCTATTTTTCTGTTGCAATTGTTATTGTTGTTTAGCCAATCCAGGCCTGGTTCAAACCCCCAGCTGTGGTGTATGTGACCAGTGCCTTACCCCTGGAGGTACAGGCACCACCTCTGTTCCACATCTTTCAGCAGAAGTGTCAAGAGGTGCTGAGGTAGAATTAACCACTTCCCATCTGCCCCAACTTCAAGATCGTTCAATTCTCTTTCCTCCATCTGAGATGACACAGTAGTGGCTAAGGGTGAGGACCTTGGAGCCAGCCAGCCTAGATATGAGTCTCACCTCTGACACTTCTAGCTGGGTAACCTTGAGCAAGCGATTCACTTCCCTGAGCCTCAGTTTCCTCATCTCTGAAATGGAGATAATAATAAATATCTACCTCATAGAATTGCCATGAGAATTAAATGCCTTAAAATGTATCCAGCACTTAGAACAGCGCCTGGCAGATATTGAGCGCTGTAGCAAAGTTTTTATTTATATCATTTTTACTTATGTTTACAGTTACATAATGTTCTGTGCTTTAAATTTTTTTCCAGATGAGACTAAGATTTAAAAAAAAATGATGAGCCGGCTCCTTTGACGCAAAAGCAGCGCCGGCCTCAGTGGCTGAGAAGAGCAGGAGGAGGTGGTGGCGGCGGGAAGATGGCTTCTTCTCCTACCAAACGCAAAGACTGCTCTGATGAGAAGTCCAAGGATTGCTCTAAAGATAAAGGGGCCACCAAGGAGTCAAGTGAGAAGGACCGCGGCAGGGATAAAACTCGGAAAAGGCGCAGCGTTTCCAGTGGTAGCAGCAGCACCAGGTCTCGGTCCAGCTCAACCTCCAGCTCAGGCTCCAGCACCAGCCCCGGCTCCAGCAGTGGCTCCAGCTCCTCCTCAGCATCATCCCGCAGCTCCAGCTCCAGCAGTTCCTCTGGCTCTCCAAGTCCTTCTCGGCGCAGACGTGACAACAGGCGGCGCTCCCGCTCCAAATCCAAGCCACCTAAAAGGGATGAAAAGGAGAGGAAAAGCCGGAGCCTTTTCCCTAAACCCACCAAAGTGCATATTGGGAGGCTCACCAGGAATGTGACCAAGGATCACATCATGGAGATATTTTCCACCTATGGGAAAATTAAAATGATGGACATGCCCGTTGAAAGGATGCATCCTCATCTATCCAAAGGCTGCGCCTATGTAGTTTGAGAATCCGGATGAAGCTGAGAAGGCGCTGAAGCACATGGATGGAGGACAAATAGATGGCCAAGAGATCACTGCCACTGCTGTGCTTGCCCCCTGGCCTAGGCCACCACCCAGGCGATTCAGCCCTCCCAGGGGAATGCTGCCACCACCTCCAGTGTGGCGCAGGTCTCTCCCACGGATGAGGAGAAGATCCCGCTCCCCGAGGCATAGATCTCCTGTGCACCGGCAATCCCACAGGAGCCGCTCCAGCTCTGATTTCTCCTGATAAACAGGGCCACTGAAGCTCATGCCCCTTGTAATTTACATCCTATTCCATCTGGGTCAGTTTTGTCACTTTCCTAGCCAAAGGAGGATCAGTAGGAAAGGAAATTCCTCACTCATGCAGACTTTCAAGGCAGCTATTGAGACATCTCTGCAGGCTGGTTTCTAGCTGCAGAAGTGTTGTCAGTTAGGGGTTGTGCCTATAAAATGCCCTCAGTTTTCTGACTAGAAAACGTAACCTGTTTCCACTACCTGAGAGAGTTCAGTGGCAAAGCCACCAGTGATAAGCAAGACCCTAGGTGGCAGTGTGGCCCAGCCTGGGGACTTGCTTTTCTTTATCATGGGTGGCCTAGTTGCACCTTTGCCGTTACTGTGCAGCATCCTTTGGGGAAGGGAGCCACACTTTTGCACAGCCAAGGTCTAGACTTTTTTGCCCTCTGCTTGAGTCTTCTTCTGATCTTGAGAGTTGCCGTAGATGGTTGTCTGTTGGGGTACTTGCACACATGCCACACCCCCATCCCCCTGTTCTCTGAAATTGGTGATGGCCAGTGTCATAGGGTTGGCACAGAATCTCTACTGGGCCTGTCTTTCATGGCGGTTGTCTTGCAGGTTACCTTGGCGACACGTATATTGCTTCTTTTTGCTTTTATTGTACAGTTAGTACTAAAAAATTTGTTTTGAGTTTTGTAACTTTGTAGCACTTTAGATAACATTGTATTTGTACTTTGTTGTGTAGAGTGAAGGAGTTGTGTTCAATAAACCTAGGATTAGAGTGAAAAGAAAAATGAAGAAAGGAATATTTTGCTTTTCATTTTATAACCTTCAGTACTTAAAAGCCTTTGTCATTTTAATGCTTTACTTTATTGGAAAAAGAAGATTTTAGAATCCCGGCTAGTTGTTTCTGGACAGTGAAAACAGCCTTCTCAGAACAGAACTTCTGTCCTCTGAAGAAGTCACTAAAATGAATCTTCAGTCACACACATGTAAAGCAAGTGTTTGCCCATGATTGCTAACGAATCAGGAAAGCAAAATCCGCTTAAGGGACGTGGGTCTTTTGGGAGGAAAGGGATTGACACTTTGAGATACAAAAGTTTTGAAACAATTTTTTTTTTATTATTTTTAAAATGAGACAAAGTTTTACTATGTTGCCCTTGGTAGAGTGCCTGGCGTCACAGCTCACAGCAACCTCCAACTCTTAGGTTTAAGTGATTCTCTTGCCTCAGTCTCCCAAGTAGCTGGGACTACAGGCACCTGCCACAATGCCCGACTACTTTTTGTTTGTAGTTGTCATTGTTTGGCAGGCCTGGGCTGGGTTTGAACCTGCCAGCTCTGGTGTATGTGGCTGGCGCCCTAGCTGCTGAGCTACAGGCACTGAGCCAGTTTTTTTTTTTTTTAAAACTAGAATGGCCAGACTATAGTCAGCTGAGATGAGAGGATCGAGGGATTTCTATAAGAAAATTCACCAGAATGGTGAGTGTATTAGTAGCTTGGACACAGGTACCAGAAAGAACTGGTGTTAGCTAGAAAATTTAACTGATGGGTTGAATTTATGTCCCCTGCATAAGGGGTATAATAAGCTGATGTCCAACTAAGGGTGGAAAGTGATTGTGTTAACCTTTTAGGGCAGCTGCAACAAAGAATCACAAGTTGTGGGGTTTAAACAACAGACATTTATTGTCTTGCAGTTCTGGAGGGTAGAAGTCAGGAATCAGGGTGTTGGTAGGGCTGTGCCCCTGTGAAGGTTCTAGGTGAGGATCCTTCCTATCTCTTCCAGTTTCGGGTGGCTCTAAGTATTCCTGGACAGCAGCACTCTAGTCCCTATGGAGAGAAAGTGGGTTAGTGGTTGTTCATGATTGGGAGGTGGAGAGACTGGGATGACAGCTAGCGCTGCGGTGCTTGTTATTTTTGAGGGGGATGGAAATGTTCTGAAAGTGACTGTAGTGATTGTTGTCAATATCTGTGAATATATTATACTAAAAACCATTGATTTGGCTCGGCGCCCATAGCACAGTGGTTATAGCACCAGCCACATATACTGAGGGTGGCGGGTTCAAACCCAGCTTGGGCCAGCTAAATCAACTGCAACAAAAAAACAGCGGGGCATTGTGGTGGGTGCCTGGAGGCCCAGCTACGTGGGAGGCTGAGGCAAGAGAATGGCTTAAGTCCAAAAGTTGGAGGTTGCTGTGAGCTGTGATGCCATGGCACTCTACTGAGGGCGACATAGTGAGACTCTGTCTAAAAAATCCCCAAAACCAACCCCCTCCTCAAAACCCCCATTGATTTGTACATTTTAAATGGGTGAATTGTGTAGTTTGTGAACGATATCTCAACTGAGTTGTTTAAAAACTAAAACAAAAAAATTACACAAACAAGGTATTCTTTTGTATGTGGCCAGCCAGGTGTCCCAGCACCATTTGTTGATGAGAGATTCTTTCCCAGTTGAATGATCTTGGCACCCTAGTGGCAACTCAGCTAACCACAGTCACATAATGTTATTTCTGGACTCCAATTCCATTCTTTTGATCTATATGTCTATCTCATGTCTGTACCACACTGCCTTGATGACCATTGCCTTGTAATAAGTTTTGAAATTTGAAGTGCCAGCCATATTTTGTTCTTCCTTTTCAAGATTGTTTTGACTATTCTGGGTCTCTGTAATTCCATATGAATGATAGCTGCAGCTGGCTAATTTCTACAGTTAGCTGAGGTTCAAATAGGGATTCCACTGAATCTGTAGATCAATTTAGGAGGTATTGTAACAATGTAAGTCTTCTAATCCACATAAAGGATTTTCCATTTATTTATATCTTCCTTACCATCTTTGAACCATGTCTCTTCCTTTTTAGAGTATAGGTTTTGCACTTCTTTTGTTGGATTAATTCCTAAAGTTTATTGGTTTTGGTGCTAGTATAAACAGAATTGTTTTCTTTATTTCATTGCAGATGGTTCATTCCAAGTGCACCAAGTGTTCAGAAATACAATTGGTTTTTATATATTTTTTTCAGGCAAAGTTTTATATCTTTTTTTCAGGCAAAGTCTTACACTGTCTCCCTGGGTCGAAGGCCATGGCATCAGATCTCACAGCAACTTCAAACTCCTGGGCTCATGTGATCCTCTTGCCTCACCCTCCCAAGTAGCTGGAACTACAGGTGCCCCCCACAATGCTTGGTTAACCTTCTTTCTTTCTTCTTTTTTTTTTTTTTGAGACAGAGTCTCAAGCTGTCACCCTGGGAAGAATACTATGATATCACAGTTCACAGCAACCTCAAACTCTTGGGCTTAAGTGATTCTTTTGCCTCAGCTTCCCAAGTAACTGAGACTACAGGCACCCTCCACAATGCCTGGCTATTTTTTGTCATTGTTGTTACAGTTGTCATTGTTGTTTCAGCTGGCCCAGGCCAGGATTGAACCCGCCAGCCTCGTTGTATGTGGCAGGCACCCTGCCCACTGAGCTATGGGTGCCACTCCCCCCTTTTTTTCTGAGACAGAGCCTCACTTTGTCACCCTGGATAGAGTGCCTTGGGGTCATAGTTCACAGCAACTTCCAACTCTTGGGCTCAAGTAATTCTCTTGCCTCAGCCTCCAAAGTAGCTGGGACTATAGACACCTGCCATAATGCCTGGCTATTTTTAGAGACAGGGTCTTGCTCTTGCTCAGGCTGGTGTAGAAATTGTGAGCTCAGGGCAATCCACCTGCCTCGGCATCCCAGAGTGCTAGGATTACAGGTGTGAGCCACCACTGCGTCCCTGCCTTCCCAGTCCATCTTCAACCCAACAACCAGGGAAGATCATGCTGGTTATGAACACTCCAAGACCCAAGGGGTGGGCAAGAGTATTTGGGGGACATGGACCAAGCTGCAGTGTGCAGTTATGGGTGCAGGACATAGACAGAGATGGCAAGGGAAGGGTGTGAGCCACGGATAAAGAGCCTCCACTTGTATTCTTGGTTTGGAATCCACGAATGTTAGAGACTGGAAATGTGGCTCCCATTTTTTACCTATGTGTGCCGATGACATAATTTTTTGACTATATTTGTATATAAAAATGTGACGTGTGTATATGACTATAAGCATACCCACAGATATACTATGTTTCACAGTTCTTTAAAAGGATTTAAAATTTTCTTTCTTTTTTTTTTTTTTGAGACAGAGCCTCAAGCTGTCATCCTGGGTAGAGTGCCGTAGCGTCACAGCTCACAGCAACTTCCAACTCCTGGGCTCAAGCCAGTCTCTTGCCTCCACTTCCCAAATAGCTGGGATTACAGGCGCCCACCACAATGCCTGGCTATTTTTTGGTTGCAGCCGTCATTGTTGTTGGGCGGGCCCAGGCTGGATTCGAACCTGTCAGCTCAGGTGTATGTGGCTGGTGCCTTAGCTGTTTGAGCCACAGGCGCTGAGCCAGGATCCAAAATGTTCTACCACTATTAAGATAAAATCCTAGCTCTTTCCATGACATGTAAAGTCTTATATGATCTTATCTTCTGCTCACCTCTCTGACTTGATGTCCTGCTATTCTCCCCCCTCACTGCCAGCTCCACTCACACTGACCTTCTTGCTCCAGCCAGCAGGGCCAAGTGACACAGGAGTTTGTGGGAGGAGATTTAATTGGCCCTGTATTTGAGCATTTGTATTAGCAAAGAAATGCCTGTGATAGGGGTTGAGTGAGGACTGGAGTGGACAGCCAGAGGATCAGGAATGAGGTGGCAACTGCATCCTCCCAGAGGTTACAAGGAAAGATGTCTGCTTATATAAGCAAGCTGGAGACAGTTCCGAAGGCTGCCAAAAAAGGAACAGTGCAGTTGAAGGAACCATCAATCAGGGGCCCCGAACAGGTGGAGGCCCGGGCTACTCTCAGCGGAAAGCAGGGCTCAGAGCTCCAGTTACCAGCCACCGGGAATTCAGCTAGCAAGGCTGATGCCAGAGGGGAGGGAGAGGAGGACACAGAGACCTGAGTCAGCAAAATGAGGAGCTCAGAGCACCTGAGGTGACTGAAGGCCCACCAAGAAGGGGGCTGGAGATCAATAACAATCACATCTAACTCAGCAGTTCTCAAAGTAGGGTCTCCTGGCCCGGCAATATCATCAACTTGACCAATAAGCTTTT